GGATGCAGATGATGAGAAACTATGGGGTCAAATTTTCAGGTGACAGAGTGCTGGAGGGAAGAGCAAAGTGGTAGCTGAATTGAGATGAAAGTGGTTTTGATACCATGGAACTTTAGAATAAAGCTAGGATGAAACTGGTAAGAGAGAAAGTGGTTGATTTTAAAGATAAATCTGTCATCCAACCACAGGACCTATTGAGGGGGTCTCATTGGGCAGGAGTTTGTATGAAAAGAAGCCCTTCACTTTATTCTGTGCCCGTGATGGCTGACCTCTCGGATTTTATCACTTAGAATATAAGCTATGGAACAAATCACCCAGTGTCACGAAACATAGCAACCTAAAGCAACAACAGTTTATGTCTTCCTTTCTGGGGGTCTAGAATCCAGGAGTGATTTAGCAGGGTGGTCCTGGCTCCTGGTCTCTCACAAGGTTGCTGAAAAGATGCAGCAAGGTCTGCACTCATCCAATTGCTTGACTGGGCCTGAAGGATTGGTTTCCAAGATGGCTCACTCACGTGGAAGGCAGGTTGATGCTGGCCATTGGCCCCAATTCTTTGCCCGTGGACTTTCCACAGGGCTGCTTGAGTGTCCTCATGACATGAGCTTGCTCTCCCAGAAGGAGTGAACTCTGAGAGCAATCCAGGGGCCTCAATGTCTGTTATGACCTAGTCACATTCTCCCATTTTCAAAAGTGGGTCCCTCTTGAAACTTGGCTACCACAGGAAGAGTGGGAGGGTGTGTGGTGCAGCATGAAGTAATCAGGAGGGGCTGGAGTGGAGTGTGAGCACTTGATGAAATCTGCCCCAATTCAGGTTGACCAAGTTCCCGTTCCCATTCTGGAACAGAGATCAGTGCTCCTCGGCCCTGCCAGGGGGACTTCTGCACATGCTGGGAGGGAGTAAAGGCCTCCTTTGAGCCCTGCCAGGATTGAGTTACACTGTCCACAGAGCTAGGCTCTGGGGTGAGGGTGAGGCATTGTGAAGAGCAGTGGAGCCACTGGCCACAGACAATGGCCTCCATTGATAAAATATGACATAATGAACCAGCCAGTCCATGGCCATCATGTCAGGAAACAATAGGCTTTCAAGAAAGCACAGGAGGTGTTGCCGAGTGGGTCTGCAACATGCCACCATGCATGCACACCCCCTCTCTATGGTCTCAGAGACTGTGCCAAGGGAGACATTTCGCTGGTTTTTGTCTGAAAAGGTCAGTTGTTCACTATAGCTTTTAATGCAGTGTCTTCTGACCTTTCGTGCAATTTGTCCTTGCTCGGTTCAGGATGACACTTTTCAGATCCATTTTCCAATTTTCTAAAGCCACTCTTACCCTTTAGCATCAGATGAACTGAGATTAGGAGGTAGAGGAGGGTTTGACCATGACTTGTTTAAAGCAGCTGCACAAGAAGGTCGAGGTTCGCTTGTTTCCATGACGTCTGTCTGTGCCATTGTGTGTCTGGTAGAACATCGACAGAGCCAGCTGCTGGGTGGAGGTGGTGGACTCAGCTACGTATCTGCTGGGCCGGGGTCTGTGGGTGAGCTTGGGCCTTGGAGTTGAGCAGAACTCCCAGGTGGACTTAGTGTCTATCCTTATTGGTGTCATATTTTATCAGTGAAAAACAACTTTGCAATGATGCCTTCGACCTGGGACACTGAGACAGACAAATCCCTATATTTGCTCTGCTTTCCTTGGAAAATACTTGTTGACTGCTAGGTCACCCAAGGTGGACACTGTGTGTGTGTGAGCTTGTGTGTAGGTGTGGGGAGTGGCGTATGTGCCAGACCAGGGTATTCCTGATGGGAACACCAAGGAAGAAATCTTGGGGAATGACCCCCCTGATCGGGCACTTAAGGACATAGTTCAGTGGGGAAAACTGCCTGGAATATTTGCCAGAGCTGTTGGGGAAGACAGGCTGGCATTTTGACTGCGGTTCAGTCACTAATAAATGGTGTGACCTTTGCAAGTTAATTTGCACCTTTGTGGGATGGCTGGCTGGCATACTGTGGCCTGCCAATGTCTGTGCCTGCTTTTTGCAACCTTCTGATTTCTTTCAGGGAAACTATCTGCCCTCCTCCCACTTGGATGTAATCAAGGAAGTCTCTGGAGGGGACATTTGCTGCTAATGTACATAACTCAAAGTCAGCCCAAGTTTGCTCCGTACTTTATTTAACTGAACACTGTGACCTTGAAAAGACCTCTGAGTAAGCTAAATTTTCTATGAATGAAGGCATATTTTAATTGCAGTGGGAAGTTTATTATTTAAAGGTAACTATTGATAGCTGGAAATGCTTATACAACTAAAAAACCATTTAGATGTGCAAATAATTTCTCCCCAATTTCTGTGCACTAAATTCATAATTCTAACTGGCTTGCATACTTTCAAAGCACTTGAGAAAACCACCTCTTCCCTTGCTCCTCCTCCTTGCTTCCCTCCCAACCTTCCTTGATTTCCATCTACTTTGAACACTGTCCTGGAATGCAGGACACTTAAACTTGTGTCCGTGGACAGCCATGACATCTAGTTTCCTGTTGGGTCCATCCAGTAGGAGTACACCTGGAGAACAGGAGGAAAGTGAGGTCTGGGTGTTTTTTTCCCCAGCTCTTTGTTTTCTGGGTTCTAACCAGTCAGGTGCACGGGTTCCCAAAGCCCCAGCTTCTGTGCAGGGCCTTCTCCATGCTGCCCTTCTCTCTGGGTTCGGGCATCACTTCCTTACCTCTGGGAATAGCCCCCCGATGTTGCTGGCCCCAGGATTCTGCATCATCCTGCACTAATTTCTTAAATCCTACCTGCATCTTTGTAAATACTCTTTATCAAACTCCCCTCAAATTGTCCAGTTGAGTGTTCGATCTGTGTCCTAAGGGCCCTGGTTATCACCATAATGAAAACTTTATTTTGCTCAATATTTTGAAAAGCTCTGTGCTGTCCTCTTCTTCCTCTGAAGGCCCCGGGAAAGAGATGGGAGGTGCATTAGTTCCTTCGAATTGCTATTGTTTGAGCTTCAAAAAGCAGAGCTGGTCTTTGGAGGAGAGTCCTTCTGCAGTGCAGGGGTCAACTGTGTTTTGAAAGTGACAGCTGTGGGGAACACAGGCCAAACTGAAGATGGTTACATCCCTAAGAGAGCTAGCTTCGGAGAGCTCCGAGTAAGTCGAAGCAGCAGAGTAAGGATGAGAGAGGGAAGGACAGCATGGAGGGGCCCCCGCACAGAAGGGATGGAGCGACAGGGTGCCCTGCCTGCCTCCACACTTACTGTCTTGAACTTCAAATGAAAGTCAAGATTGGGGTGGAAGAAAGAAATGAGAATTGAGTAAATCAGCCCTCTGTTTTCAAAGGAATCCTGGGAGATGGCTCTGGGGGAGGAACATGTGTTTTATTATTTTTTAAAGATTTATTTATTTTATGCATGCAAGAATGGGGGTGTAGGCCACAGGTGTGTGTGTGGGGGGTGGGTTGGGAGGATACCCCAGAGACAGAGCGGGGAGCAGAACAGGCAGACTGACAGAAATACACGGCTGAGGGGAGCAGCAGGTGAGTCAGGGGAGGTCTGCTGTGCCATGTGGGTAGCTCCCTAGCCTGGAATTGAACTCATGTGGCAGTGGCTGGCCATAGTTTGATAGTGTTGTATCTCTAACCCCCGCACCACCAGGGAGGCCCAATGTGTCTTAAAAAGTAAAGTTACTACAAAAATAGCATAGGCTAAGCCAGGAAAATAAAGATGGGGAGAAGGAGGAGGTTGCGGAGTGTGGTGCGGTGATTCTGCAGTGTGGAAGAGTATCCTGAACATGGAGACATGCCTGATGATCAATGAGTCAAAGCAGGTTGCACAGTATGGAAGTGTGAGCCCATTTGTGTAGAGTGTAGTCTTGACTTTCTTAGAGTATATAAACGTATGAGACGGTGTGGAGCCATGTTTGACCACATGCAAGATGTAGCAGAGAGGGAGGAAGAAGAAGAGAGAAACAGAGAAATCAGTGACTGAGAACCGAGTCCGGTTCCTCACTGTTGTCGGGAGCCCTGGTGCCCTTACACGGGCCTCGTCTTCCTCCCGCATGGGTCTGCAGAGGGGTCTGCTGTTGCCCTGGTGAGAATGGTGATGTTGGCAGTGCTCTTGTCTTACCTGTGTTTCACGTGGAAACAAAGGCTGTGAGAGGCCCAGCAACTTGGAACTTACTAGTGGCGCTGAGATTCTAGCTGAAGTCATCTGAGTTAAACACCAACTCTTGCTACTTTGCTGGAGCCAGACACCATCCAGGCCCCAACTCTGCTCAGGGCAACAACAGGAGGCCAGCAGCAGCCCAATTGGAATTACTAAGATTTTTTAATGAAGGGGCTGTTTGTGGCTGGGAGGGTGGAGCAGAGGGGACCAACAAGGGGCCTTGAGGCCCTCACTAGCAGCCTGAGGTCTAGGGAGAGAAAGAATGTTTCCAGTCATTGGTGAGAGGGGCAATGTATTTGAGGGCCACCCACAGGGAGCTCCCCAACCAGAACTACTGTGAGGGAGGCAGGGAGGAGTGAAGGGGGCCGAATAAATACTCTTTGCTCTTTCCCACTGTCCCCCAGCCTCTTGCTGGTGTCTCCATGGGCTGAACCCAAAGCCCTGGCCATGCAAACCCAAGGGCTCAGCCCGGCAGGGTGCAGGGCAGGGCAGGGCTGTTTTGGGCTGGAGTGCAGCAAAGTTGCCTCTGCTTGCAGAAAAAAGGTGGGGCGGGTAGCGTGGAGTTGACGGAGAGTGCAGGCCTGGGCAGAAAAGTTCTCTAGAGAAGCCAGCAAGGCTGCCTGGACCCCAGGGCCGACCCAAGGGAGTCACGCTCCAGGTTGCCTTCTCCATGGCTCATCTCCCCTCCCTTCCCCTCTCCCTACTTCTTCCGCTCCTAAGGTTGTGCTTGTACTTTCTGTCTCCTTCTCCTTCCCCACACAGTGGGAACAATGGGGGCAAGGGAGGACAAGGAGTTTCCAGAATGTTTCTCCTCCCCAGTCACTGCCACCTGATGCAGCGCAGGCATGGATAAAGGCTTGTTGCATGTGTCCCGGGTTGGAGAAGAGACTGAAGGCCTGGAGCAGTGTTCTCTACCAAAGCAAGCGCACTCAAGCGAGGACTAGGTACAGGCAGCTTGCCAGCTGGTTCCTGGAAGCACAGGGAGTAGGAGAGGGGGGGAGAGGGAGGAGACAGAGCCAGGCAGATGGTGGGTGATTAGTGGGCACCTGGGACTCCACTCTCCTGGGATATTCGGAGGAATTGACAGGATGCATCTCAGAATTGTCCCACTAGGAAGGGGAAGCTGAGGAATTTATCCACCACCTCCTGACCCCTGCAGGTGGACGATGGCTGGAGCATCAGATCCCTACCATCGCTGGCATTCTGAGTGCAGGGTGAGCTGCAGAGAAGCCTTCAGCTGGAGAAACTGGAGACCATCACTCGAGTACTTGAGGTGGTGGCTGGGGTCCCTCTGGAATGCTGCCCACCTAAGCAAAGGTGGGTTCCCAGGAGAGTCAAGGGGTGGCGGGGTATTGGCACCTGTTGCCAGGTCCATAAAGGTGAAGTAGTGTCTCCAACTCCAACTGAGGCCCACCTACCGAGTACCTGTTGTGTGCACAGGGGCACAAGGGACAAGGCCCCCACAGAGCCCTCCACTCCCTGGTTCTGGAGGTGCTAAGTGATGTGGGACCACAAAAGGAGACAGGGCCTGGCTCACAGCAGCACTCAGTAGAGGTTTGCTGAAGGGCCAGACTTGCAGCGGATGAAATCCAGACACTGTGGAGGAGCTAGGATTTGGGTGGTTGAGAAGGACATCATCGGTTGAATAACAAACGTGCAGTTGGAGAGGACCCAAAAAGGGTGTTTCTGGTTCAGCTGAAGTCTCTCAGGAGATTGAAGGCAAATGGGACTGAAGGCCCAGGGCCCAGGACCCAGGATGGGCGCACGTCAGCGAGGGTCTGCTGAGGAGGCTTTGGTTACCTGGTGGACATGTTGGCTTTTTCTGCAGACGACGGGAACCCTGCAGGTCTTTGTACCCATCCCTGGTGTCTGCTCAGGGTGGGTTGGGTTGTGTGGGAAGGTTGATGGAAGTGACTCCAACTAGGGGAGAGTTTGCTGGAACCTGACTGGTGCCCCCAACCTAGAGACGGTGAGGAGCTTTGGAGAGGCTGGAGACTGCCCATGCTCTGCTTGCGAGCCTGGAACCAGCCACCGCAGCTTACTGAAGGCATGGAAGTCCTGCCTGGGTTGTCTGAGGTGCTTCAGCTGAGTGTGTCTTTCCTGGGCTGTCCGGCCGGGCACAGACAGAGCTGGCAGCCTCATGGGAGACTCCAATGACTGGATCCCAGTGCCTGGTGGAGGAAGGGAGGTGGTGGGTCCTCCAGGCAGGGCACACAGACCAGTCTTTGTGCTGTGTGGTGCAGGGGAGGTGTGGGCTGTCTGCTCACTCAGCGCTGCCTGCCCAACACAGGCTCTCTTTGTGGGGCCTGGAACTCGGGTGAGAGTTCCAGGAACAGGTTTTCTGTGGAGCAGCTCCATTGTGGTATGTTGGGGTGTGGGCCCCACAGATACAGGATGGAAAGATGGCAGGCTGGGTCCAGGTGCCCTGTTGGCTTATAGCGTGAGGGAATCCCAGGTGAATATGCCCTCAGGCCAGCCAGTGGACACCACACAGTGGGCAGCTGCCATGCCCAACTGGTCCACTAGCCTCATCCCAGCAGAAGGCCCTCCTGACTTGCCCCTTTGCTAATTAAACTTGCTCAGCACCCAGGGCCCATGGAGTCTGCTGATGGGCCTTACACATCTCAGATGGCCATTTTCAAATACATAATGGTGAATGTGTATCATGTTTTATCTGATGAAATTCCTGGTGAGTTGTTATGTCTGTGTGAGTCTCTTATTCACTGATGCCCTAGCTTCCCGAGGCCTATATTGGCTCCACATTTACCTGGTTTCTTTTCTGGCTATTGTCTCTGGCTACAGTAGCAAATATTCTATAATTTGCTCAGATGGTGTCACCAAGTGGGACTATCCTCACAGGTGTGCAGCTTTGCTGTCCCAGGGTCCTAAGCATGGAGGCCTTTTGTTTGACTGAATGCTCTGCTGTCACCATCTTGAAATTCTTTTTTCTTTTTTCTAAAGATTTATTTATTTTTGCATATAAGTTCTGGGGTGTAGGCCAGAGGTGCTGGGGGATGAGAGGATTCACCAGAGACAGAGTGGGGAGCAGAACAGGGAGATCTACTGAAATACACTGCTGAGGGGAGCAGCAGGTGAGACAGGAGAGGTCTGCTGTGCCATGTGGGTAGCTCCCTGGCTGGGGATCGGACTTGTGTCTTGAAATTCTTAATGATTTTTTAACAAGGTGTTCTACATTTTCATTTTGCACTGGATCCCACAAATTCTGTAGCTTTTTGTGTCTCAGGGCTCAGGGAGGGGATAGGAGAGCCCCAAGTCACAACCCAGAAGGGTCCTCAGCTCACCTGCCATCTCTGAAGCCCCTCCCCTGTCTCCAAATGAGAGCAGGACTTGAGGAGGCCTTGGTAGACATTTGGGGTTTAGTGACAGTCTCTTAAGTACAAAACATCAGTTTACTCTAAAGACCTCCTACAAAAGTATTTTTAAAAATAATGGCTTCGGGCCTCCCCGGTGGCGCAGCGGTTGAGCGCTGGGTTGCAAAGCTGCCCACAGCCTCTGCAGCGCCGGTTCGATCCCCGGCTGCTCCCCGGCCACCGGAGGAGGGTCCCACATGGCGCGCAGACCTCTCCTGCCACCCGCTGCTCCCCTCAGCAGTGCACTTCGGTCCTTCTGCCTGCTCTGCTCCCCGCTCTGGCTCTGGTGAATTCTTTCACCCTCCCGCGCTTCTGACTGTACCCAGTGCTTGTAAAAACAAACAAATAAATAAATAAATCTTTAAAAAAAAATAATGGCTTCATTATAATGATATATGCTTATTGTGAAAATTTTAAATAATATTAAAAAATACCAAGAAAAAAGTAAAGAAAAATAGCTTAAATTTCATCTCAGAGAAATAATCATTATTAGCACTTGGGGGAATTTTTTTTTTTTTTGTGCTCTGTGTGTGTGTGTGTGTGTGTGTGTGTGTATTTATATACAGCCTTAGTCAGCTCAGGCTGCTAAAACAAAAATACCATAGACTAGGTGGCTTAAAAAGCAAACATTTCTTACAGTTCTGGAGGCTGGAGGTCCTGGATCACGGGCCAGCAGATTTGGAGTCTGGTTAGAGCCCACTTTCTGGCTTATAGATGACTGCCTCCTTGCTGTGGCCTCACTTGGTGAAAAAACAAATTCTAGTCTCTTTCTCTTCTTATGAGGACATGAACACTGTCATGGTGGAGCCACTCTTATGATCATCTTTAAAGTTTATCACCTCCCAAAGCCCCCAACTTCTAAAAATATCACATTGAGCAGTTAGAGTTTTAATACATGAGTTTTTGGAGGGTTGCAAACCTGTAGTCCAAAATATATACATATAACTTTTATTCACATCAATTTATACATATCTATATGTATATCTCCATACACATTTACCCACATGTAATTTTATATGCACAGGAACATAATTTATATCTCTATATTATCTGTAACATATGTACGTGTATATTTATATAAAAATATACTAAATTTTATTCAAAGCCCAAGATGTACCTTGCTCATTTTTAATAGCTGCATAGAATTCTACTGTATTTATAAACCATTATAGATTAGTTCTGCCTGATCTTGAACTTCTTTTTTTAAAAAAAGATTTATTTTTATTTATTTCTGCATATAAGAACTGGGGTGTAGGCTAGAAGTATGGGGGTGGGGGTAAGGGGATTCACCAGAGACAGAGTGGGGAGCAGAATAGGGAGATCTATTGAAATACACTGCTGAAGGGAGCAGAGGGTGAGATAGGAGAGGTTTGCTCTGCCATGTGGGTTAACTCCCTAGCCGGGGATCGAACTCATGCTGCAGTGGCTGGTGATCGCTTCATAGTGCTGAGACTTTAACCCTTGTGCCACCAGGGAGGCCCCTGTTCTAGATCTTCTTATCTTCTCAAAAGAGTCTGAACTCTTTTGAGTCTGATTTCCTACAGTCCCTACACTACTTTTGACATCCATCCACACTGTTGTATACATTAGTTCCAGTGTGTGTGTGTGTGTGTGTGTGTGTTCATTGCTGACACACTCCTCTTTATTCAGTCTTTGAAAGACCTTCGCTTACCATTTCCATTTGATTTGTCTAAGGCACCACTGCCTTAGAGGAGGAGGTCAAGATTTGTCTCCAGACCTCCAGTCAGGAAAGTGCCCCAAAGGTTATAATGGAAACCACACACCCCACCACTCTCTGGCTGCCTCTGCTCCATGCCTGAGAGCCGCCCCCCCCCCCCCGCAGGATTTATTGATGGATGTGGGGACGTTCGCAGCTTCTGCATCCCCCACCTCATCCTCTCTTGGGGCCACAGCTGGATGGCTTTTGTTTCTCTTTCTACCTTATCAGATGTCCCTGCAGTATCCTGCCTCGCTGAAAGCCTATCCTCTGCTACCCTCTTGCCAACCACCTGTGGATTTTCTTCCTGCCTTCTTGGCTGCTCTCACTCAGTTTCCTTGGCTGCCCTCTTCTGAGTGACCTGAACATATTGAGGGTCTTCAAAGTTTAGTTCTGGACCCTTGTCTCTGCTGTCGTAACTCTCACTCCCCAAGTGGTTACATCTAGACTCATGGCTTTAAACACCACCATCATGTGGGTAGCTTCCCGGCCATGTCTGCCCTTAAGTCTCAGATTTGCACAACCTCCATGTAGGGCACCCCAAATTTAACATCACCAAAAACAGAACCTGAGGTTCCTCTGGCTAATGTGATCCTGCTCCATCTCCCTGTCACATTAAGTGTCCCAATTAAACACACAGTCACTCCAGTCTGGGTGGGGGGGGTCATCCTTGATGTGTCCCGCATCCTCACCTACAGCCAATCATCTACAATCTGTATGGTGTTTGTCTTTATTTTATTATTTTTAAAAAAAATTTTTTTTTTTATAGAGGCATGTTTTATTTATTTGTTTGTTTGTTTGTTTGTTTTGTTTATACATGCACTGTGTACAGTCAGAAGCGCGGGAGGGTGAGAGAATTCACCAGAGCCAGAGCAGGGAGCAGAGCAGGCAGAAGAACCGAAGTACACTGCTGAGGGGAGCAGCGGGCGGCAGGAGAGGTCTGCGCGCCATGTGGGACCCTCCTCCGGTGGCCGGGGAGCAGCCGGGGATCGAACCGGCGCCGCAGAGGCCGCGGGCAGCCATGCAACCCAGCGCTCAACCGCTGCGCCACCGGGGAGGCCCTATGGTGTTTGTCTTTAAATGAAACCTTCTGTCTACTTATTTCTCTCTCTCTCTTTTTTTTTTTTTTAAAAAAAAGAAACAGCTACATTTATTTATTTATTTATTTATTTATTTATTTATATTTATTTATTTATTTTTTTGTGGGACCCTCTCTGGCCGCCAGGGATCGAACTGGCGCTGCAGAGGCGGCGGGCAGCCTCGCAGCCCAGCACTCAACCGCTGCGCCACCAGGGGAGACCCTGTCTACTTCTCTTCATCCCCATCATCATGGCCCCAGTCTGCGGGACACCTGCATGCAGCCATGTGCCAAATAATGTAATGCCACTTCAGTCAACAGCAGACCATGTCCATGACAGTCCCTGGATCTAAGCTAGGGGTGCTGCAGGCGGTACCATCTAGTTTTGTGTAAGTCACACAGTGACAAACTCACTTTGTCTCACATTTCTCAGAGCGTATTCCTGTCTTTAAGTGATACCTGCCTGTACTATACACCACCTCTTTATGGTTTATCTGCAATTCAATTGTAATTAGGAATCTTGGCTTTTTATTTGGTGAGTCTGGCTGCCTCTCCTTTGAGGTTTTGCAGCTGGTCAGTGCTTCCCACTCCATCTGACTTCATTCCTGCCAGCAACGTCCCTCTCTCTGCTACGTGGCCCTTGTAGACCAGGGTAAACCAGGAGAGGCCCTTGCCTCCCCAGGCTGCCTTCCCCACCTCCCTCTCATGCTGTGATCGAGGGGGAGGCCAAAAGTGTCCCGAGCCCGAGTGGACTTCTCTTTGCTTTCATTCCAGGCTGTTCATGCACAGATGTTTCCATTTGCTTGGGGTCAGTCATAAGTCTTATTTGCTCCAGAATTCTAATGTTGTGAGGGCCCCAGCAGAGGACCTGCAGAGGACCTGGCTCACTCAGTGGCCAATAAAAGCTAGTGCCCCTCTGCCCTCTCGGTGCCTGCTCCCTCTGCTGACACTCGAGGAGCCAAGTTGGTGAGGAAATGGTCCGCTGCAGGACGGCCCTCCTCTCCCTGAGCAGCCTTCTCTTCTAAGCTGCACTTTAAATCATGTGTAGGGGCAATGAGTCCTGTTTCAAGGCAGTTCTGGGAATTACAAGGACAAGGACAAAATGTGGTCTTGCTGCTGGTGGATCAATGTGGGGTGTGGACACTTGTGTGTGTTCTCCCCTCGCCCACACAGGACAAAGTTCAGAGCCCATGTCAGGCCTTTGGTCAACCAACCCTTGCTTATCTCTCTAGCCTCGCCACCCCCTCCTTCCTTATCTTCTTGTCTTCCTGGTAAATGAACTTCTGCCAAGAGTGGAAGCATAAACAGTTGGCCATTTGGGATCTGGGAGACCATCTCTGTACTAAAAATCTGCTCTTGGGGAAGATGTCTCTTCCTCTGTACCTCCATTTTTTAAAAAAGGTTTATTTATTTATGCATACAGGAACTGGGGTATAGGGCAGAGGTGCAGGGGTGGAGGGGTGAGAGGATTCGCCAGAGACAGAGTAGGGAGCAGAACAGGCAGATTTACTGAAATACATTGCTGAGGGGAGCAGCGGGCGAGACAGGAGAGGTCTGCTGTGCTATGTGGGCTGCTCCCTGGCTGGTGGGGATCGAACTTGTGCTTCAGTGGCTGAAAAGAGTGCTGTCTTTAACCCCTGCATCACCAGAGGGGCCCTGTGCCTCACTTTTTCAACAGTGAAGTGGGGCTAAATTCTGCTTTTCCCTTGCAGAGCAAATGGGACCTGCCACACATCTGGGAACTGAGAGAGGAGGCCTTTGTCCATGTGCATCATCTTCCTATGAGACCCAGTTCCTGTCACTCCAAGAAGGTTCCCTACTGCCTTCCCGGGACATGGTGCTGCTTTGTCCCCTTTTTCTACAGCTCTTTCCTTACTCTTCCCAATGTGCCTTCAGCAATATGTTGCTTGGGGATCATTTATTTTCACATTTCTTGCTGCCACTGAATTCTGAGGGCTCTTTGATTTGCAGGTGGCTATGATTTCCTGCACTATGCCTGGCACACAGATGGTGCTCAATAAATGCTCAGTGCATGCACTGACTGTCTTTCAGGCATACAGAATATAGATACAGCCTCTAACTCCCTCATGCCTATTCTAAAACAAAACTGTAGTTCCTTCTTAAGGAAGGAGTGTCCTAATTCTTCAGATTAGTCTTTTTTTTGCTTATGGGTGACCAGCACTGATTTTATTCCAGGCCTTTTATTTGTGTTATTTTATTTAATACTCACAATAACCCTACGAGGTGTGTACTGTTATCATCCACGTTTTACAGATGGACAAACTGGGGCACAGAGAGATTAAGTAATTTGCCCAAAGTCACACAGCTAGGGAGCTGTGCAGAAGGGATTTGAACTCAGGGCTCTCTGATGCTGGAGCATGTGACCCTGATGCTCTGGGCTACACTACCTAAATGTTATGAGGGTTGTAAAGGGATAAGAAAGAAAACTTGGCAGGACTGAGTGCTGAGTGGAGTGAGATGCGTGTGTGTGTGAGTGTGTATGTGCAGGGACGAGGTTGCTGTAGAGGGACAAACAGCAGGAGAGGCAGGACCTGGGAAGTAGAGAAGGCCGGTAGAGCAGCTGCACAGTGGTCAGCTGTGCGGGCGGACAGGGTGGGGGCTTGTAGACCGAGGAGGTGGGGCTCAGCGAGCACGGCGGTGCCAAGCCTTCCTTTCAGTCCAGGCATGGAGCCAGCCTTCACTTTTGAAGCTAATGAGAAACAGATTGAGGAGTGAGATGGAATAGAGACCGGAAGGCTGGCTTTGCTACGTGGCATCGTTCAGCGAGCTCCTCCACGAGCCAGGTTACTGGCAGCAGCCGAGAGCAGGGGAGGGACTCACAGCTGGATGGAAGGTCTCCCTCTGGTTTTATACCAGCTCAGATTTTGTTTTATTGAAAGATGAATTTAAACATTGCCCGCTTTGGTGAATGGTGTGGTGGACATCTGGATCACCCACAAGAGGGTGTCCCTCCTGCGATGGGTGGGTTTCTCCCTTCCTTTGCTGACGTGAGGACTATCCAGCCCACAGGCATGGGGTTTCCAAGGGGGAGGGTGCCTGATTCACATGCTATGACATCTCTCCAGGAGTGGGGGCCTTCTGGGGGCTAGCTGGTTTCAGCGTCCCTCCAGGGCTCCTCGAGCTGAGGTGGTAACTTCCCAAGCGTTGAGACCTGGGGTATCTTGGTGACAACTGTATCCCCAGCACTTTGCATGGTGTACCTTAGTAGACACCCTATAAATATTTAACATAATGGTTCTCTCTATATCAAACAGGTTCTGGAAACAACCATGGGTTTGACCCTCAGCCCCACTAGTCGTTACTAGCTCAGAAGAGGACCTAATATCTTCAAGCTTCAGTTTTTCCATCTCTGAAATGGGGATTGATAAGAGCATGCACTTTATGAAAGGGGGAATTTGAAGACTATCTGATATTTATTGAGCATTTACTTTGTATCTGGCATTGTTTTAAGCATTTTACCTGTTTTCACTTATGGAATCTCCACAATAGCCTCCTGAGGCAGGTACGTTATTGCCTCCATTCAATGAGAAGAAAGCGCCACCTGGAGAGGCTGAGTAACTATCTAAGATCACACAGCTGGTAAGAGGCAGAGCCAGGTTTCAAATTCAGGCAGCTGACTCAGCGTCAGCTCTGAACCAGTCACCATTTGCTATCTCAAAAGGCTTGGATCTCAGCACAGTGTCGGGCACATAGCATGTGCTCAATAAAAGGTATAATCTTTGACATTTAATTAATAAACACGTGGAAGGTGAAGTGGGACACCCTGAGTCTTCCTGAAAGAAGTGAAATGATGGAATGTTAAATAGGTCACCAATCATTCGTTCAAATCCTCTAAGCATTCTCCTGAATACTTTACCTAAAACACAGTGAGCACCAGGGTAAAAATGGGTCCTGGTTCACCATACTCCTTGAAGTCCATTTGGGCACAAGGAGCAGAGAACCATTCTAGTGAAAAGGTAGAAAGTATTCCCTGGAGGAGCCTGGACTGTAGCCGCATGGAGCAGGGGTTGCCGGGTAACCTGGGGCTGCGGTCACCTCCCTGCAGACTGTCCTCAAAGCATTGTGCTCCTGCTTCCTCAAACTCATCGTGCAACAGACTCTGGGGTGCCATGGTAATAATGAGAATGTCAATTTTACACGTTCCTACCACTCCTGGTTCGGCATCCCTGATGGTGTTTGGATCTTTCTGAGTTCAAATTCTACCCCTTTCCTCACTCCCCGAGGGGTGAGGTCATCTGTTCCAAACCTGGTTGTCTGCTCCTTCATCCTCAGCAAGGATGGGGGGCACTTGAGTCATGAGGAAGGCCCACATGAGCAGACTACAGGACAGGGTCCCCCCAAGCATCACTTTCAGATGAATATTTCTACACTATTTTAATTTTATCCTCTTATCTCTCTCTCCCCAAGACTACTAATAAGCTCTAAGAGTCACAAAAATAAACTAGAAGGATGTCCCAATTTTGTCACCTGCCAGTTTCCCACACAAACCAGCAGATGGGTTCATCCTGCCAACAGAACATGTCAAGCTCCTTACTAGCCCCAGAACCCCCTCCCCTCCAGCTCTTAGTCCTGAAAATTCAGTTCAATTTCTGCCTCCCTCAAGTATTTTCCACTTGACTCCAGCCTAAAGTGATCAGGGTTCTCAGGCTATAGCCTTATATCTCTTCCATCCATTTGGCCATCTCCTCTATTATTGTTAGGAAAAATTTGTGAAATACTTTCAAATGCACAAGAAAAATAAAATGATGACTGTCTAGGACAACCTTCGACCTTATTGCTGTCTTCCATGGTCTTCGAGGTATTTTACAATTCTGTAAGTCACAGAAAACTAATAATGCAAACAATTTGTATTCATAAAAATGCAAATTAATTGTGTCCAGTGGGATTTAATTGATTTACTGCCCTGTGGACAGATTCTAATCTATTTGTAAAATCATTTCAGCATCCTGATGACCTGTGTGTGTGCGGTTCTTGGAATTCTCTTTTGGACTGGCTAGGAGGCTTCAACTGGCTCCCTTCTTAATGAGTGAGTTCAATAAAATGTATATTTATGAAAGTCATAATTTTACCCTTTCCCCAAAAAAATTATTCTTTGACTTTTTTTTTTAAGGATTTATTTTTATTTATTTATACAAGCACTGGGTATAGTCAGAAGCGCGGGAAGGTGAGAGAATTCACCAGAGCCAGAGCGGTGAGCAGAGCAGGCAGGAGGACCCAAGTACACTGCTGAGGGGAGCAGCGGGTGGCAGGAGAGGTCTGTGCGCCATGTGGGAGCAGCCAGGGATTGAACTGGCGCTGCAGAGGCTGCGGGCAGCTCTGCAACTCAGCGCTCAACCGCTGTGCCACTGGGGTGGCCCAATTATTCTTTGACTTTATTTAACTCTTGAATTAAGAAAGAGTGGTTATACTAGTGTTTGGTGGCGCAAACAACAAAAGTGAACTGTAATTAACTTTATGCCGCCACCCCCACCACCCCAACCAACTGGAAGTTTATCTGGCTCACAGAATCTACCGAGAGACTGAAGTTGTGGGCTTGAAAAATGGACTGGAGCCATGGGTGGTTGGGTGGCAGGACTAACAGGCAAAGGATGGACTGGCTGACATGGAGGCCATCTCTGGGCACTGGCCACCATCTCAGCCACTAGGAAACAAATGCTAAATTATTCCTGAGTGCTTTCAACTCTTGCTTGAAGCCCTGGGCTGGGTTATGCAATTGTCTGGCAAATGCCTAGGACTTAACCTGATCTTTACCTCTGGATTAGGAGGCAAGGACCTACCACCCACCAAGATCCACACAATAGGAACAGTGCTCTTGCACCCCAAAAAGTGACGATTGTCTACCAGGCCTTTCTTGAAATGAAATTGTGACTTCTGCAAGTGTGGCACCACGAAGTACACATATTCTTCTTTTAGATAGTGAGGAGTGAGGCGATCACTCAGCAGCCCCTCTGCCAGAGCTTGTGCAGACATAAAGGAGATGGAGGGAAAACATGGAATTAGAGAATATTGGAGTAGGATGGGTCACCGAGGCCACTTCACACAAATCTCTAATTTTCCTCTCAGGACACTGAGCTCATTTAGCAGAGGTTCTGTGTGATACGTGAGATGGTTCCAGTCTCGTGGGTTATGTCAGATGTTTATGAGAGGGGTGTACCTGCTTATCCCCAAAACTGGTTATTGTGACTAGTGGGAGGGAACGGCCGCAGACTAATAACAAGCAGCATTTCTAGCTGAGTTGGGATCCGGCACATTTCCCAGCTTCCTTGGCAGCAGACTTCTCTTCTGAGGTATGTTTCGCTGACGTGGCTGGCTTTGGGAAGCCATGAAGCACAATTTTCTGAGAATCCGTTTGCAAAATTGAAACAGTGCCCTTGAGAACTCTGCACATCGCAGCTGTGACGAAAGGTGAGCACAAGGCCAAGGGCAGCCATCCAGAGACCCAGCGGGCACCGGGTTGGCTCCTGGCTCCAGCAGCCTGTGATTCCAACCTCCAACGTGTCCCTCAGGGGCAATAGGCCAGAGTCTGCTCTTTCCTGGGGCTTCCTCCCCCCGTTCCTCTTTTTTCTCTTCTCTTGTCTCACATCTTGATTTCCAGAAGACAGGGAGACTCCGCCTGGGGCCCAGGAGTAGATGTGCAGCACTGGGCTTCCTCCATCCCTTCCCCCCAGTCTGGGGACATTAGGAGCTCCCACACATGCCGGTCAGCACCAGGCCAGGGAGGGTTGATC